CTCCCCTCTACCTCCTGGGAAACAGCCAAGCGACCCTCCGTCTGCTGCAGTGACTGACTGCGGTTTGGGGAAACCCGTGCCAAGGGGTGCTGAACCCTACGGCACTTATTCCAGGTCTGCTTCCTTCTCCTGAAAAGCCCAATACCACTTCTCAGCTACACCCACCTGCTGGAGACAGGGCGTGCAAAGGACAGGTCAGCAGCATCAGGAAATGCTGAAGGAAGTTATTGGAACACAGTACATGTAGAATTAATGCAGCTTTCACAAAAATAACCCTTTTCCCCCCTCAAATGTCACCTTAAAGGAGCGACCTGGCCAGAGCATAGAGAGTTTAACCTTTCCTTGACAATCCCCGTTACACCAGCCATTTCAGTGGCAACGATTGCAAACTTCCCCTGCGACGCACCAAGCACATCACGCCGGCATCATCCAGCCAAGGACCAAACCGCACACGGATTCTGGATGCTCGTTAGCAGCGGGGAAGGCGACAGGAAGCTGATCAGGGGAATACTTCAACCAGACTTTCCAGTCAAAACGCCAACGGGCTGGGGAAGGGAGTTTCTTAGTCCAAGGCAAACCAAACCCCTACCTGCAAACGACGGTGCAGGGCTTCCACTAGGACAGAGAAGGGATCAAATTCCCTCTCCTGGCTGAGTGTCCAGCCCCGGGACTGCCTCATCCCGGCTGCGGGCCCTGCCTCGGGCTGACCGGTCTCCTCTCCCCTTCCCCTCCAAGCTCAGCTCCACCTCGATGCCAGCCGGGAACATTTCTGACACTTCAGAAGTCGTAAGAGACCCCCTCACCTGCTCTTCCTCGGAGGAATGCTCCCTAGGACTTGTAACAGTGCCCCACGGCGATTTTTCACGTTTCCAGGGTAGATTTTAACACCTGAGGAAAAATAAAACCCACACACACACACACACACCTTAAACCAACTTTGTGACTTTTATTGATGGGCGACAACTTTATACTTCTAGATATCACTAAACTGTGTACAATTAGGAACTCAACATTATAGGAGAGCAGACAGCGAAATTAAACAAAGCAGACTTAAAGAAATATCAATTATTTTGCCCATTTTTTTTTTCAATTTCGTGTACACAGAAGCATAAATGCGGTTTGAAATTTCTTAATAGCAATAAAGTTACGATCACCCATCTATATAGACTAACATCTTAACTCCAGATAGTTATCTGCAATGTGTACTTAAGCAGTTTCTCGTCGCACAATTGGTAAAACCTGTCTTCCTGTCCGGAACCAGCAACTCGTCACCTTGTACATCTGTACATCTGTCCCAAGCACGCAGGACCACTTCCACCTCCTCCACACCGGCTCATCCTTTACCACTTATCAAAAACTATCGGGGAAGCAGAGAGCGCTTTGCATTATGTCTTTTTTTTTTTTCTTTTTTTTTTTTTTAATTTTTATTTTTTTACTTAAGTAAAGATAAAACATTTTCTCAGAAATCTACAAGTTCTGTTGCTGGTGCAGGGTTTTCTACTACGCAATTAGAAAGGGGGAATCCAATGCAAATCCCCTTTTATTATCTTAGGATTCAGCACTGACTCAGATTAATTTTTTTTTCATATTTTTTGTGATTCACGAGACTGAGTCTTTCAATCAAGTGACTTTATTCCGCAAGTCAAAAGTCGACACCAACTACGCTGAGCACAAACCCAAGGTAGTTTCCTTTATCACTCTATCCCAGCGTTGCAAGGGAAAGGCGGGGGAAAAAAAAAAAGAAGAAAAAAAGAAAAAAGATGCACTCAAAAGAGCATTTACAGGAGAAAAAAAGTTAGTGATAGTTGGCGTTCTACAAAGCAGGGATCTTGCACACACAGCGTAAGAGGGAGGAGGTTCACAGCAGGTCAACGCGGCGGTAGTACAGGAGGTAGGCTGTGCGCTCTGCAGACGGCTTCACCACCTGGTACTGATTTATCACTTTGACTGCCTGGTCATCGATGCGTAACCAGCCGTTCAGACCGATTTGGAAGACGTCCGTAGTGTAATGGCCACCAGTTGCGCTGTTTCCGTGATGATAGACAACTGCAACGAGAAATCCGTGATGCGGGCGCACGCTACGCACAGATATCTAGCTACTGAAAAAGCAAACGGAGGAGAACATCCCACATCCCTTTCTTCACGGCTTACTCAGCGTTTTTCAGAGGGTATGATCTGGATTAAGCAACAATCTTTCTGTTTAGTGCTTGCGTGCTTACATCTGATTCCAGGCAATATTAGTAACGTCTCTGGAGACCAAATCTCATGATTCTAAAAGAAGGTTTAAGTAAATTAAGAATCAAAAGCATCAGATCACTTTTTCTAGCTTCCTGGAGGATTTCCTGGGAAGGCTTAGCCTCACAGAGGCAAGAGGGCAGCACATCCCCCAGAGCTTCCAGCAGGTACTGCCACGCATTTGCCCTGGCTGCTGACAGCAACAGTAGCTCATGGAAACCACCAAACGAAAAAACCCCAACCAAACAACAAAAATACCAGGTAAAAACACCAGTCTGAAAAAAGGGAGTGAGGGAAGACTGCTCAGAGTGCACCACCCCGCAGTGTCAGCAGCACTGGCAACTGCCACCGAAGGGCAGGGATCTTTTGTGCGGGCCCTTCTCCGGATGCGCGCAAGAAGCCGTACCTGACCCCTTCTCGGGCGCGCCAGCCCTGAGCATCTACCCAACAAAAGCCAACCAAGAGCAGGAGGTGTGTCTGACACGGGAGCAGAAGAATGTCATTATGACATTGTTCACGCTCTTTCAGACAAGAGTCACCTCGAGTTTATACAGATTTTCTTCACGCTTCTACAAAGGAAACATTTTAGAGTAACTTCAGCAAAGCAAAAGGACGGGATATCCTATCTATACATTTGGGGGGATTGAGGACATTTCCTTTTACAGCAGCTTAAACTTGAATTACGAATTTTCTAAAATTTATTGTTAGATAATTAGGTGAATTCTGGACAATATCTGAAACTTAATTCTTCAAAAGCTTATTTTAGTAATTTAAAATTAACGTAACAATCACAGAATCATGGAGTGGTTGGGGCTGGGAAGGACCTTAAAGCCCACCCAGTTCCACCCCTGCCATGGGCAGGGACACCTTCCACTAGGCCAGGTTGCTCCAAGCCTCATCCAGCCTGGCCTTGGACACTCCCAGGGATGGGGCATCCACAGCTTCTCTGGGCAACCCGTGCCAGCTCAGTTTCTGTGGATGAGAAGTCCAAGACTGACAGGAAGTACTGTACTTTTCCACAGAAGGAGTTAGGAAAAATTACTGTGGTTAACACATCTTCAAAAGCCAGAAACACGCTGCCTAAACCTGTCCCATGAAAACCACTATCAATAAAAAAAAATATTTCACTGCCAGCAACAGCCCTGAGTTTCCGCAAGAGACAGGTTCGTTCCTTCCTTCTGTAACCTCGGCAGTCACACAGCCGGATCCAAACCACCAGTACTGACACGGATTTGGTGGCACCAAGTTAAGGCCTCCGGTTCTCCAGTGTGTGACGCTCCCCTGATGCCAACACAAATAAGCAGCTGCAAAGCGTGAACTGTGCAGGAGTTTCAAACGTCAGGAAGTTTACTGCCCACAAACTGTTTTGTTCAACATTATAATGCTGCTTCTCAACTCTTACACGAGCTTCCAAACTTCATTGCTTGGATTGTTCAGGTACTTGGATTACATGGCAGACACTTAAAACCAGCATTTCCTCACACAAAACTCATCATCTCCTCCAAGTTCAACTTTTCCACCTACGATCCGCTATTCACCCCCCGCCAGCAACACTCAACTCGAGGATTCAGAGAGGCACAGCCAGCATTCAAATAGCCATTTCAAAAGGCGTTTGAAACGTTATTCTGAGAATATGTGGTGTGTTTTAGGCACAGTTATATTACAGCTGCTTGTCAGCTTCTGCTGGTATTTTTCAGGGTGGATCTGGTGCAGAGATCCGGATTTGCACAAAGCTGGATCAGGGAGATATGTAAATATACCCATATATCTGTATAAGCACCTATGAAAAAACCCCCACTAAATAAAAGAATTTGACACACACAAGCTACTGCCGTGTAATTTACAAGAAAATATTTTACATAATCGAGGAAACTCCAGTGGTTCTAGAATTCTACACGCAGAGTTTGTGTTTGCAATACAGGGACTAGAGGCATATAGAAAAAATACCTGCAAAGAGCCGGTAGGTTCTTTGGCCTTTAAAAATTTTACTTTTCACACCAGGAGATAGTAGCTCTGGAGGAGGGAAAAAAAAAGTCACAAAGGCAACAGTTAGCAAGTTTAGAAAATCAATTTTAAAGGGATCAATTATTTCTCAGAGAAACCAACACTACCATAATGGAGAGAGTTTACTTAAAACATCTTCTGCAGACTTTAAAGAATGGTCATGGCTCTGATACCTGGTAATCAAGGGAATTCATTTTGAGGTTTGCTGAACACTAATGTTTATGGAAGGTTTAAAAATACCACAAAAAAACCCTGAAGGGATAAAGAAAAAGAAGAGGGGAG